GTATTATATGATTGACTTGATAATTTAGGGCCAGCTATAAGCGCTAGAAATACATTGAAAACTTATAAATTTCGTATTCAAAACTCCCATAAAATTAATGGAAATTTTTGAAATTATATGAATTATCTTTAAGTCGTTTAGTCAGTGTGAGATATTTTTGTGATTTTTGACCCGAGATTTTCTGCAAAACTGCATCTAAAAATTAAAAATTCTTACTCGCGCAATTTTAAAAATGAGAAAATCAAAAGTCGAAAATGTCAAAACTCCACAATCTAAAGATATCAAAATTTAAAAAGTTCGAAAATCACAATTCTACGTAGAGCGAAGCGAGCAAAATTTTCCTTACAAATTTATTGGAACGAAAGAAGTTTGCAATACGTCAAAGAAGGATACAGTATACAAGAAGTAGCTGGAGCTCGCGGAGCGAGCGACTCGTTACTAAATAATAATAAATTATATGATAGACTTGATAATTTAGGGCGAGTTATAAGCGTTAGAAAGACATTGAAAACTTATAAATTTCTGGTTCAAAACTCCTACAAAATTAATGGAAATTTTTGAAATTATATGAATTATCTTTAAGTCGTTTAGTCAGTGTAAGGTATTTTTGTGATTTTTGACTCGAGAGACTTTCTGCAAAACTGCGTCAAAAAATTAAAAATTCTTACTCGGGCAATTTTAAAAATGAGAAAGTCAAAAGTTGAAAATGTCAAAACTCACAATTTAAAGATATCAAAATTTTAAAAAGTTCGAAAATCACAATTCTAACGTAGATCAAAGCGAGCAAAATTTTCCTTACAAATTTATTAGAACGAAAGAAGTTTGCAATACATCAAATATATCAAAGAAACGAAATCCACAAAATTTATTAGATGAATAGACTTCGTACGGGGAAAAGGATACAGTATACGAGAAGGAGGTGGAGCTCGCGGAGCGAGCGACTCGTTACTAAATTATAATGTATTATATGATGGACTTGATAATTTAGGGTGAGCTATAAGCATTAGAAGTACATTGAAAACTTATAAATTTCTTATTCAAAACTCCTACAAAGTTAATGGAAATTTTTGATATTATATTAATTATCTTTAAGTCGTTTAGTCAGTGTAAGGTATTTTTGTGATTTTTGACCCGAGAGATTTTCTGCAAAACTGCGTCTAAAAATTAAAAATTCTTACTCGCGCAATTTTAAAAATGAGAAAGTCAAAAGTTGAAAGTGTCAAAACTTCACAATCTAAAGATATCAAAATTTAAAAAGGTCGAAAATCACAATTCTAACGTAGAGCGAAGCGAGCAAAATTTTCCTTACAAATTTATTGGAACGAAAGAAGTTTGCAATACGTCAAATATATCAAAGAAACGAAATCCACAAAATTTATTACATGAATAGACTTCATACGAGGAAAAGGATACAACATACAAAAAGTAGGTGGAGCTCGCGGAGCGAGCGACTCATTACTAAATTATAATATATTATATGATTGACTTGATAATTTAGGGCGAGCTACAAGCATTAGAAATACATTGAAAACTTATTCATTTTTTATTCAAAACTCCTATAAATTAATGGAAATTTTTTAAATTATATGGATCATTTTTAGTCGTTTTGTGAGAATAAGACATTTTTGTGATTTTTGACCTGACATTCTCTGCATAACTTAGCGTCAAGAAATTTAAAATTCTCACTGGCGCAATTTCAAAAATAAGATCGTCAACGGTTGCAAATCTCAAAATTCCCCAATCTAGAGATATCAAAACTTAAAAAGTTCGAAAGTCACAGTTTTAACGTGGAGCGAAGCGAGCAAATTTTTTTTTACAAATCTATTGGCGCGAAAGAAATTTGCAAAAATGTCAGAAATATCAGAGAAACGAAATCCACAAAATTTTTTGCATAAACAGACTTCACACAGGGAGCAAGATATAGTATACAAGAAGAAGGTGGAGCTCTCGGAGCGAGCGACTCGTTACTAAATTAGAAATACATTGAAAAGAAATTAGTTTTTAATTCCAAAATCTTATAAATCAATGGAAATTTTTAAATTAGATGAATTATCTTTCGTCGTTTAGTCGGTGTAAGATATTTTTGCAATTTTTGACCTGACATTTAAACTTAATGTCAAAAAATTAAAAATTCTCACTGGCGCAATTTCAAAAATAAAAACGTCAACGGTTGCAAATGTCAAAATTCCCCAATCTAGAGATATCAAAATTTAAAAAGTTCGAAAGTAACAGTTTTAACGTGGAGCGAAGCGAGTAAATTTTTTTTACAAATCTATTGGCACGAAAAAAGTTTGCAAAAACGTCAAAACTATCAGAGAAACGAAATCCACAAAATTTATTGCATAAACAGACTTCATACAGGGAGCAAGATATAGTTATACAAGAAGAAGGTGGAGCTCGCGGAGAGAGCGACTCGTTACTAAATTAGAAATACATTGAAAAGTAATTAATTTTTAATTCCAAAATCTTATAAATTAATGGAAATTTTTAAATTAGATGAATTATATTTGGTCGTTTAGTCAGTGTAAGATATTTTTGTAATTTTTGACCTGACATTTAAACTTAACATCAAAAAATTAAAAATTCTCACTCGCGCAATTTTAAAAATGAGAGCGTTAACGGTTGCAAATGTCAAAACTCTCCAATCTAGAGTGTATCAAAATTTAAAAAGTTCGAAAGTCACAGTTTTAACATGGAGCGAAGCGAGCAAAATTTTTTTTTACAAATCTATTGGCACGAAAAAGTTTGCAAAAACGTCAAAAATATCAGAGAAACGAAATCCACAAAATCTATTGCATAAACAGACTTCATACAGGTAGCAAGATCTAGTACACAAGAAGAATGTGGAGCGTTATTAAATTAGAAATACATTGAAAAGTCATTAATTTTTTATTCAAAAATCTTATAAATTAATGAAAATTTTTTTGTATGTAAAAACAGAAAATCAGGTCACAACTCTCATCAATAAGATGTGTATTTCCACCAAAACCTGCTTTTGATACAATGATACCAACTCAAAACCTCATATTTCAGCAAATGTTCACTAAAAGAACATTAAAAATCAAATAAAAAATCGAACATCTTGAAATTGTCTAAATCTGAAAACATGTCAAAATAATGAAACCCAAAAATCATGGAGCGAGCGAAGCGAGCGTCATTTTTTATACAAATTTAATGGAACGAAGGAAGGATAATAAACTTCCCGCAGTGAGCAATATGTTGCATCCGGGAAGATAGTGGAGCTCGCGGAGCGAGCGACTCGTTACCTCACCGAATCAAAGCACGCCAGATCGACATGATAATACAGGTTTCTCGCTCCCGGTATTCATTCGGCTCTCCACTGAAAAACATTACCCAAATACTCAACATTTGTCTAGATCATTAGTCACTTCTTGCCACTAGACCGTACATTTATGCACAAACAACGACATAAATAATGTCTTCCATTTACAACAAATAAGAACTCTACATTTAGAATAAGTGGAACACGATAAACCATAAATAACCACCAGTCATTTACCAAGTGACAGATAAAAGTGAATACATATTAAATAATTCAACGACCGAAGGCGCAAAAATTACATCTATATTCCAACCGAGTGACCCACCCACAACCGAAACAAAAACAAATCGATCCGTCACTACAACCCAACCAAGATATTAAATCTCCAGCGCTCACTAATCGGCGAAAAATGTCACCACTGTGACCAACCTAACAAAATCTTCTCAACCGTCAAACCAAAAACAATCAACACTTGTCACGCCCCGTAGTCATCACACATGTAGGAATTCGTGCAATGTTTATCCCCGTATGGGAACAATTACGTCGGGGGCGTCTTCCCAAACAAAACAAATGCAAATCGCAGCCTCGAACCACCTATGGCGCCCATCTCTGCGCGTCTTGTTAACACGACTTCTTTCATTTTCTGCACGGTCATCACCCCGCAGCGCCATCTATCGGCACGCCGCAATTAGTTGCACCTCTTTGTTTGGCCTCTCGCGCGACAACCGAACGCCATCGGATGATTTACGACTAATAATCAATTTTTATTCGATTATGTGGTGCAATTATGTAAATTTGGAGGTTTTTTCGGCACGACTCGATGATTAATGTAACGAAAGTATGTGTGAAACCGAAGGTGCAGCTGAGGATGCCACCCAAGCGTCATTAACGAGAACCGAAACGTCGTAAAACGAATGGATGGTACTAATTTGTTGGGTTTAAATTAATGGGTCTAATGGCCAATAAAACGGTCGTGCGTGGGTGAGCTACAATAGTTCCAAAAACATTTCTAGTGTGAACTAGTGTGGGTATAGGGGATTCCCCGAAAATTTATTTTCCGCCGGAAGGCGTATTTTCGCCATTTCTAGTTATTACTCTTTGCCGGAATGTAGTTTTCGCAATTTCCGCCCCCTGCATCCATTACGCTCGTCGCACTTTTCCATTGCCACTCCACAAAGAGCGTTTTTCGCAGAAATTCATTTCTTATGTTTCAAAAGCGCACAGTCGCCTCCGGCTATGTTCTCAGAAGATGAATATTTATGCAAGTGGATGGTGCGAGCGCTCGATATTCTTGTCTGCGCCATTTATTTTTCGGATGACGGATGGCAGTGCTGCCAACCCCCCCGTCACTGCTCCCGTCGATACCAACCCAATGAAGAATTTATCTCCAGTGACCTCTCATCTGTTCAAAGCCCGGAACAAAGCAGCGCCATTTATTTTAAAGGATTTTAATCCCATTTAGTGCGGCTGGGCAAATTGGATTTGCGTAACAGGCCAGAACGGGTGCTTCATTTGAATTTTTCACTTGTCGTAATTAAAATCGCTAAGACCGGTGATTTTTCGGGGTCACCAAATCGCGTTTACTCCATACTGGGAGTTCGCGGAATCTGTTAATTGCGGCGAGTGTTTGGAATAAAGCCGGTTATTCAGCCGCTGATTGATTTTTGCGTAAATTGTTTACTCATTAGCGCTTTGGAAAGAGTTTCTAAATCGTTACCTTTGTTCTTGTTGAGGCTAATATTGCTCGGAAACCCCGTCAGCTTCTTCCAGGCTTTCTTCCCCCAGAAGCCCTTGCTGCCGCCATCCGTGGGCGTAGAAGTCCTCGCAGCCCCTGAAACCGACTTGGGCCTTTCAGGTCCCCGCCTCAAACTCCCGGCACCACTGCGATAACTAGCACCACTAGAACTACCACTGAACCCACTGTCAAGATCGACCAAAGGCACGGGCGACAGCAAGTCGTCGGTAGGTCCGATGGTCAACAAATCGGCCAACTGGTCCTCGGTTTCACCCTCTCGGTCCGTATCGTCACTACCCTCGCGGGACGACGACGGCATCAACATGGCCTCGATCGACAGGTTGAGTTCCCCGAGGACGCGCCGGTGGCCGCTCTGCACCCGGCGCAGCTCCTCCTCGACGAGGGTCTGGTTGATGGACATGATGCTCTGCTGGGGACGCAGACGGGCCCGGGCCACCTCGCTGATCTCCTCGTAGATGTTCTCCTCGGTCCCGTAGCGCGTTAGATAGGTATGACGAGTCCTAACAATAATATAATCATTAGTTTCTTTGTGGAAGGAGGGATGGGGTTGGTTTTAGGTGCACCGACTGGTTAGCACCCCCACAACTTGGTGCGTACCGTTATTATTATTATTATTTTTGAGTGTGAAGAGTGGGTTGTGGCGGGTTTACCTGTAGGAGCCCTCCCGGTAGGTCCCTGGGTACCTGCTGGGCACGTTGGTGTGTCTGGTCGGAGGTCCCGGCACGTAGTAGGCGTAAGAGTAGTCATTAGGCATATCCCAAGCATTTTGAGTGGAAGGTCCTGGAGCGCTCAGTAAGTGCTCTTCGGACATGGCAGAAGTGGAAGGCGGAGGGTAATTAGGTGGGGGAGGGAACTGCAAGTGGGCTCGACGGCCATGAGGGGGTGATTCTTGGGGGCACGCGCTTCCGAAGAGCCCTGAAGACCTTTCGGAGTGTGCTGAGTGGTGGGGATTCAGCTGTTCCATGGTGCATTGTTGCCGATTTGTGCGCGGGCTGCGCCACATTTACCTGGAAAAGGAGCAACATTGAATAATATACAAGTGTGGGAAAGATTGTAATCGTGTGGTGGCCAGTTGGAGAAGAACACTTGGGTGACCTATTATCCAAATGAGTGTCAATTGGTCGACCCTCTAATTAAACAGTCTGACGATGGAGCGTTTTATTTAAGTAACTTTGTAATTATAAATAAAATAGAAACGTCAGAGCGGTTAATAATAATGGAGGCGATCAATATGGCGCCAATCGATAAATCCGCTACAACTTGTTTATTATTCGGTTTAAGTAGCAAATAAAAAGTAATGAAATTGTTACTTACTTAACATTATAAGACACACATGTTTAGCATGTGTCAGTGTAGTTGCATTTGAGTCCGACGGGTAAATAAACACGCGTCGACTAGCGAAATGTGAATCTCGGGACAGATACAAATCTCGAACATAGAAAGTGGCGGCACATTTGTCTAAAAATACCGCCGCCTTGTTAAAATATCACGATTTACTCTATACTATTTCAAAGAAAAAAACATGAAAAATACACAATATTGAAGAAACACGAGTTACACCGACCCGACAAATACTTCAACACTTACTATTTGCTCACACAGGAAAATTTAATGAGCAAAAATTTGGCCACCCTCCAACTCCCGAGCCACTAAATCTCCCAACTCGAATTAAGTGTGACACAAAAAAATCCACATCAAACCAAACCGTGTTCCCACATAAAAAATCCTGACACAAATCCGTCCCAAAACGGATTACGATTCGTCCTTACTCAATCAATAACCCGATAATCACACCTTGATGCATAATTGATCAGAAGCAAATCGAACCCGATTAAGAATGGACGACAAAAGCGTCGAACGCCGACCTCGCGTAAAAAAAGACCAATCAAGGCCAAAACTAATTGATTACTACCAAAATAGAAAAATAGATCATGAATCAACGGCCACGGTTCACCCGGCAATCTGTCACAAGTCCCCAAATCCCGCAGAAAACCTGTCACATATTGTATTTTTAAACCTCCGCTGCAGCTCTAATGAAGCGGACGCGTTCTCTTAATAACCGAACCGAGATAACCATCAAAATATTTAAAACTCGTTGTACACATTTAAATTTGAGATTCGGAATCAACAGACTCGTTATTCATCTCGTTCACTGAACTTGGCGTTTCTTTCGCTTGTTGATGGCGGCGATATGTTGCCGGTGCGTTAATTGGATGTCTTTTTCGGACACGACTTCGACACATAACCTAAGATTTGGTTTCGTGTCATGGACGGGTTTCGGCTAACTGTGATCCCCAAATTTTGCGACGTGGTTGCAAATCGCGGAGGACGTGAGGTCTGTTTATGTAAGGGCGCCCCTTGGCATGAATCGCGAATTTGGGAAAGTGGAAGTTCAAGGTTGCGCTAGACGTGCGGTCGTTACATGTAAAGCACATGAAGTTGTCAGTCACAGGTGAGGGAAATTCAGGCGGACGCGACCGATGTTTGAAAAAGTTGGTGCCCGAATTTTTCGCAAAAATACAGCTCGCTTCGCACGCTGCAAAAACTAGATAGATTGGTAGATTAATTGTAGATTTGAATGGTCGGGCGGCCAAGAAAAGTGAATCAAGATCATTGGAAAATTACTATTCACGATATCAAAAAACTGAAAATCGAAAGTTCGTGTAACCGAGCAATCGAAATGTTGAAACATCGGAATATCGGTAAATAGAGAAATTGAGAAATCAAAAAATTTGAAAACTCGAAAAGGGAAAAATTTATAAATAAATACATCAAAATTTTTTTAAATCGAAAAATTGGACAGTCAAAAAATCGAAAGATCGAGCAAACGAAACAACATAAAAATTTTCGATTTTTTGATGTTTAAAATATAGAAAAATTGAAAAATCCAAAACCTGAAAAATCGAAAAGTCGAAAAATTTTAAAAAACTAAAACACTGAAATGTCAAGAAAGCGAAGCATCAAAAAATATTAAACTTAAAAACAACGAAAAATTGAATAATAGAAATAAATACTGAACAACTGAAAAATCGAAAAATTGAGAAATCGAAACATCCTAAACCGAAAAATTGAAAAATTCCAAAATCTAAAATTCAAATCGAATAGCCAACATCTCGAAGAATCGAAAATCAAAAATTTAAAAAATCGAAAAATTGTAAAAGCGAATAATTAAAGAATTGAAAAACTAAAAAATCGAGCAACTGAAATAACGCAAAAATTGAAAAATCGAAAATTCGAAAAATTGTAAACGTTTGAATAAAAAAATATCGACAAATCAAAAAATTAAAAATGGAAAAATCGAGAAATTGAACAATCAAAAAATCGAAAGATTGGAATATCGAAAAGCCGATAAGTCGAAAAATCAAAAAAATTGAGAAATCGAAACATCTAAAAATTAAGAAATCGCAGTAGGTTAAAATCGAAAAATATGAAAATTAAGGTTGAAAAATTTGAAATAAAAAAAAATCGATAGATCGAAATATTGAAAAATAGAAAAATTGAGAAATCCAACAATCCAAAAATCGAAAGATCGAAATCTCGATATATCGAGAAATTGAAAAATTAAAAAAACGAAAAATTGAAAAACTGGGAAATTTATAAAACCAAGCAATAGAAAAAACGATGATAAATCGGGAAAACGAAACATGAAAAAACTAAAAATCCAAAATTTAAAAATTCAAAAATGGAAATCTCGACGAACGAAAAAGTCGAAACATCAAGAAATTAACAATATAAAATTAAAAAAAAAATAAAATACCGAAAAAATGAAGAATCGAAACATCGAAATATAGAGAAATCGAAAAATTGAAAAATAGACAAATCTAAAAGTCGAAAAATTGAAATCCAAAAATCGAAAATTTTAAATATCGAACACTGAAAAATCAAACACCTAAAAAATTGAAGAATTGAAAAACTGAAATATTGGAAAATTGAGAAATCGGAAAATCAAAAAATCGAGAAATCGAAAACTCAGATCATTAAAGAATTGAAAAACTAAACAAAAGGGCAACTGAAAATTTCCAAAACTGAAATGACGCAAAAATTGGAAAATCGAAAAGTCGAAAAAGCGAAAAACCAGGAACTTCACAAATCTAAATCGACGAATCTAAACATCGAAAAATGTAAAGATTCAAAAAACATCGAGAAATAGAAAAGTCGCGAAGTAGTAGAACCGAAAAATTGAGAGATCGAAATCTAAAAAAACTTAAATGCTAAAAACTGAAAAACTGGAAAATTTAAAATTAAGAAACACCGAAAAATCGAGAAATTGAAGAATAAAAAAAATCGCAAGATCAGAATCTCGATAAATCGAGTAATCAAAATTTGAAAAATTGAAACATTCAAAAACTGAAAAATTGAAAAATCGAAAAATCAAAAATTTTATAAATCGAAAAATTGAAAAACTGAAAAATCTAAAACCAAGAAGTCGAAAAATCGAAAGATCGAGAAATCGAAACATCAAAAAATTGAAAAATCCAAAATTTAAAAATTCGAAAAATTGAAATATCGAAGAACTGAAAAACCGAGAACAAAAATCGAAAAATTAAAAAATGGAAAATCGAAAAATTGAAGGATCGAAAAACTGAAAAATCAAGAAATTGATAAATTCCAAAACTGACATGACGAAAAATTGAAAAATCGAAAAATTGAAAAGTCGAAAAATAAAAAACCTGAGAAATCGAAACATCAAAAGATCGAGAACTCGAGAAATCGAAAAGTACAAAACTCGAAAAATCGAATAATTAAAGAAACCAAATAGGTCAAAATCGAAAAAACGAAAAGTTAAAAATTGAAAAATTTAAAACTAAAAAAAATCGATAAATACACAAATCGAAAAATTGAGAAATTGAACAATCCAAAAATAATTGAAAAATCGAAACCTCCATAAATCGAGAACTCGAAAAATTTGAAACCTGAAAAAATGAAAAATTTAAACCGAGCAGGGGATCGATGACAAATCGGGAAATGGAGACATCAAAAAACTAAGAAATCCAAAATTTAAAAATTCAAAAAACTGAAAAATGGAAATTTCGAAGAACTGAAAAATCGAAAAATCAAGAAATCTAAAACTCCAAGATTAAAAAAAAACTAAAATGCCTATAGAAAAATAGAAAAATCGGAAAATCGTAAAAATAAAAAATCGATAAATCGAAAAGTTCAAAAATTAAAGAACCGAAATATACAAAAGTTCCAAGACCGAAATATCGAAAAGTTGAAAATTGAAAAAAAATAATTAAAGAATCAAAAAATTGGAAAATCTCATGACTAAGGCATCGAAAAATTGAAAATCAAAACTTGGAATTCCATAAATCGAGAAACCGAAATTTGAAAAAACAAAAAAAATCTGAAAAATTGAGAAACTAAAAAATCTAAAACCAAGTTGATGAAAAAGAAAGAAATCGAAACATCAAAAAACTGAAAAATCGAAAATTTAAAAATTGGAAAAAATGAAACTCGGAATATTGCATTTTCGAAAAACTGAAAACTCAAAAAATTGACAAATTCCGAAATTGATATTTCGGAAAATAGGAAAATCGAAAACCGAAAAATCGAGATATCGAAACATCTAAAAATTCAAAAATTCCAGAAGTCGACACATCAAAAGATCGAGAAAAAGTAGAAAAACCGAAAAATCAAAAAATTAAGAAAAAGAAATGGGTCAAAATCGAAAAGTTAAAAACTAAAGATTTTAGAATAAAAAAAATCGACAAATGGAAATATTGAAAGATCGAAAAATTGAGAAACTGAACAATCCAACAATCGAAATCTCAAAATCCAAAAAATTGAAAAATAGAAATCTAGAAGAATTGAAAAGTCGAAAAATCGAGAAATCTAAAACCCTAAAATAAAAAAAAAACTGAAACATTGAAAAATCGAGAAACCGCATAATCTTCGAAAATCGAAAATTTTAAATATCGATCAATTGAAAAATCAAAAACCTAAAAAATTGACAAATTAAAAAAAAAACGAAAAATTGAAGAGTCGAAAATTTGTAAAACTGAAACAT